TGGGTACTTTTAATTGTCCATGCCATTTGCATTTTTTCCCCGTTTTCTTCAGTCAGTTTCTAGGAGGCCTAGAAGTAGACAGCTTTTGCTTTAAGTAGAGCCGTGGGAGTGTCAGGGGTGGTGGCCTTTTTGTTGTTGGAAAGTGAGGGCGGATCCATGAGTGACAACAGGTTCAGAGGGCAGTATCTGCCCTGGGAGAGCCAGGGAAGGTGACTTTGATGCCCCACAGGTGTGGGTTTCAAGGCCCAGTTTGAGGGATGTATGAGGGGGTTAAGCAGAAAAGCTTTCATTTCCCGGCTTGAGGTGTGGCAAATGACGGTGGCCCAACCAGCCACTGAAGGGACCAGTGGTCAACGAGAATGACCTTCAGAGCTTGACAAGATGATAAGGAAGCCTGCAGGCCCTGACTTTGTGGTTGAGGCATTGTCGTAGCTTTATAGGGCCAGGGAATCAAGTTTCTTTCCTACTGGAAACGAGGGATGTGAACCCCAGTGCTCAGTCAAAGACACACTTTCCCAGGCCTCTTTGCCCGGATCCGCAACCTGCTCGTACTTTGGCTGCTCGATAGTGGCTCTTCTGTGCTTATGTGTGGTGTACTTGGGAGCCAGGCAGGTCAAGGTTCATGGCACTTCTGCTCTTTTTTTTTTGTTTCAAAGAGCTATTTACTTATGTAAATAGGTTTACAGGTACTGGGGTATAGGCCAGGGTAGGGGGCGGGGGAGGGGGGTGAGAGAATTCACCAGAGACAGAGTGGGGAGCAGAACAGGCAGATGTACTGAAATCCACTGCTGAGGGGAGCAGTGGGGAGACTGGAGAGGTCTGCCAGGCCATGTGGGTCACCTCCCTGGCTGGGAATCAAATTTGTGCTGCAGTGGCCGTGTCTGGCTTCACAGTGCTGAGCTTTAACCCCTTGTGCCTCCAGGGAGGGCCTGGCCCTGTTCCTCTTTAAGGGAAACTTTAAAAGCACTTTATGTACCCTTTGTATTAAGATTCTGATAATTTATCTAAAATTAATAACTAATACCCAATTCTAAATTGTGCATTGACAAGTATTTGCTGTTAGAACTACATCGAGTTCACAGGAGCCCTCCAGTAGCTGTCCGGGGTCCTCACGGACTTAGATGTACAGGTTTCCCCGCTACTCAAAAAGTAGAATGATTCTATTTGATAGGATTCGGTGGGTTATTTTTTGGTTCCGGCAACGCTGTTACCATTATTTTATAGGAAAATGTTGAACATTTCCAGACCCCAAATAACCTACCAAATGGCACCGATTTCCATTTGGGTCGTGGGGCAAACCTGTAGCAGGAACTCGATGTGTCACAGCATGTGGAAAGGCAGTTCTCCCATACGAGAAAAGTGTCACAGACTCTCTCCACCCCTGGAGGTTCTGAATCTTCTGGGGTAAGGTTTGGGTGGAGGCCGGCCACTGGTATTTGTATACAGGAATTTCAGTGCACTGGGTGCACAGTCAGCGGAGAAGAGAACGTGCCCCAATTAAGTGACCAGCAGCATGTCCCCCTGTAAAGCAGAGGCCCCACCTGGTGTCCACCGGTGCATTCATCCTGATCATTACAGGGTTTTGCCCACTGGTCTTGTAAAAAGGTAAATGAATCTTCTCTCACTCTGTTGTGACATGAACTCTAACCCATACTAGATGCCTTAGTGGAGGCTCACACACTTGTGTGTGTTTCTCTGTAGAAAGAAGAGATAGTTCAGGCTCTCGGTCCTCAAGCGCTGCTAGCCAAGAGGAGAGTGACGAGATCTGCTTGTACCACATCCGGAAAAGTTGCAGCTTTCAAGGTAAGTTGGAGGAAGCCCCTGCTCTCAGCTCTGGCGCTCTGTTCTGAGAGGATGGATTATCTCACTTGTGAGTGCATATGACTCACTGACCACATCAGTTCTGAAGAGATTTTGTTGGGGAGTTGAGGATGTGAGGGGTTTGTTGAGTTTGAGAAAGCTCCATGCAGCAGTGCGTGTGAACCGTTGACCCTTGGTCAGCAGAGAGTGAGGTGCTGACACAGGGGCACCGTGCCCAGTCTAGTGAAGCCCAGATCAGTGCCACCCATGAATGAGATCGGCAGTGCCTTAGAAGCCAGGAGGCCTTCTCAAGGAGGTTGTGCTTGGAGGACAAGTACTTGTTTAAGTTGCGGGGCAGGGTTCTCCTGCCTGTATTTTCGTGAAATCTTTGTTTTTTCTTACTGCTATTCTGGGCTTTGAAGAAATATTCCTTCTCAAACTTGGTGACTCTTGGAAAACCACCAAAATTTCTTGTTTGGTTTTTAGTCTTTAAGAAATTACCGAAGCAATTGGGCCTAGAAATGGGATTGCAGGACCAAGGATGATAAATATGGGCTTTTATAAGCAACTTCAAAACGATCTTCCAGTATTTTACCTTCCTCCTGACAGTATGCGAGAAGTGTGGTTGCTCTGTGTCACTGTCAACCATTACTCTTGTCAGATTCTTAAGTTTTCCTCATATTTTGTGATGGTTTTAATTTACATATCCCTGATTATTAATGATGTTGATGTCTATTTTCATGTGCCTACTAGCCATTTGCATATCTTCTGTAAAGTATCTATTTACACCTTTCACCTATTTTTATGTAACAACTTTATTGAGGTTCTGTTTATAGCTTACATACCACCTTTACCTGCTCATCTAATAATTTCATACTGTAGTCACAGCATTCTACTGCCATTATAATTTTAGGACATTTCTGTTGTCCCCCAAATCCCACACTCACTGGCCATCCTTCTCCATTCCCCCTCCCGCTAACTCCTGGCTCGGTCTCCTGTTTGTAGATCTTCCGATTCACATCAGTCTTTACACATTTGCCTGGAGAGCTCATCTAAATGGAATCATGTAACATGTGGTCATTTGTGATTATTTTCACCCACTTCTATTGTATTGTTTAATTTCTCATTGAGTTGTGAGAATTTTGAGTTTCCTTAAACAGGTCTCTCTGTTGAATACCTGCATTTTCCAGTTTGCCTTTCATAGCTATTTTCTTTGGAAGAACAGAAGTTGTACTAGTGATGTCCATTTTAATACATTTTTTCTTTTATGGTCGGTGTGCTTTATATCCTAAAAATCTTTGTTATTCAGAGTCCACAAGAATGTTTCTCCTGTGTTTTTCTAGAAGTCTTACAGGTTTAGCTTTTGTTTTAGGTGTAGCTGTTATGCTTGATCTAAATTACCTACTGATAATTATTTAATGGTAATCTGTATCCACCTGAATTACCATTCCTTAGCGTTGATTGTTCTGTGTGAGATGGCTGCCTTGCCATGGTGCGTTTCCATGTGTTGGGGGCGTTTAGTGTCTGCTCATAGTGGTGCTGGGGGACCCCGGGGTATGTGAGTGAGCGATGATTTCAGGCCTCCGTCTTGCTTGGCAGGCGCTCAGCTGTGTCCTGCCTCTGGGTCTGGCTTTCATACCTCTCACATGCTCACTCTACTCACCCGTCCTCAGGCTGCTGGGGCAGATAGCCAGGCTGAAGGCAGAAGCGTGGCCTGTTGCAGCGACCCAGTTATTTCCACAACGCGGGCCATGTCTTCCTGCCCATTGTGACATCTGAATTTGTGTTCCCATACTCAGCCCCTTCCCACCTCTGCTGTAGCTCTCTTCTGCACATTTTGCATGTTCTGTCTTTTATCTCTCTCTGACTTTTGTCTGCTTCAGACTCAACAATTCTGCTTTTTAAAAGTAGTTTAACTGTTTTTCAGTGATTGTGGATTTCTTCCTCTCTGATCTGTCATTTCAAGGTATGTAAGGGAAGATGGGGATTGGGCGCTACGCCAGTTGATGTGGTTTCTGTGACTCCCTTAGAAACCTAGACTCGGCCCTCCCAGGTGGCGCCGCGGATTAAAGCCCAGCACTGTGAAGTTGGCGGCAGATGCTTCGGTGTGAGTTTGATCCCTCGCCACAGAGGTGATCCACGTGGTGCGGCAGATAAGTGTAGTTAAAAAGAAATAAGAAAACCTAGACTCTGGAATGCCATAGCGAGGTATGGGAACTTCTTGAAAGGAAGTTGAGGAAGGAGGACAGAAGACCAGAGGTATGGCAGAGAAGGGTCCTCAGTTTTCATCTGTGCACATCTCGGCCTCACCTGCACCATGGCTGTGTGGCCCCTCCTTCTCCGGGCACCTTCCAGCTGTGAGCACCCTGGGCCCTGTGCTCAGCTCAGGCCTGCTGAGCTTTGGTCCTTTGTCCTTCCAGAGGACCTGTCAGCCTGAGGGGCGGTGGGTGGCGTGCCTTCCCTGAGGGTACTTTGTCCAGGAGAGAGCCTTCTCTGTGCAGTGGCCGAGTCCTCTTACCCTGACTGTCCCTGTGTGGCCCTCAGGGAGGGAGCAGAGGATCTTTCTAGGTCATCACCTCTGGACCATACTTAATTTTATCTGTCCAGGTTCTACCCTTCATTATTACTGGACTGTTTGGTTGAGTCCAGGAGGCCTCTGGGCCTGGTGTCCGTGCTGTCCACACTCCAGCTCTGGACCGGTTGGGAAACCCTGCGCTGGGTCCAGCTGAAATCAAAGAGGCTATTCTCGGTGGGGGTCTGTCCTCCACCTGGCACTTCCTACTGCCCTGCGCGCCTGTCTCCAGGCTCGTCTAGGGCAAGCTCGGCCGCCTCCCGTTCTCTCAGGTGCTCACCTCTTATGCGGTTACTGGGCTAGAAGGGGCTCTGCGATCTTCTTGAACAGTACATGAGATTTTAGAAATTCAAAAAATGTTCCAAATTAGCCAAGATTCATTGCCATTATTTTGAGAGCTGAACTTGAAAAGTACAAAGGGCAGTCAAGGCACCTCTTTTTTTTAGCACCAGGATCCTCATAGGAAGCCACCATTACTTCCTGTTCCTCTAGTGCCCTCCGATAAGATTTTACACAAGTGTGTGTGTCCGGTATGTTTTGTTCTCACAGCTGCACTGTGCACATAATTTGTATGTTGCTTTCTTTTACTTAAATCAACATTTGCTTTTTTGGAATATAGTATATTCTAATAGTTCAAAATTCAAAAGATGCAAAGGCAGATTTTTCCTCATAAGGGTCTTCACCTACCCAGCTCCCCCCACAAGAACTAATAAGTGCATAGATGTGTCGTTAGCCAAAGTATCTTTCACCTTTACATAAACAGACATACGGGCCCTTGCTGTGTGTGTGACCCCACGTGATCGCAGAGCTAGTCAAGGGACTTCCCCTTGCGCTTCTTCCTTTTCTGCAGCCTTCTGAGCAGCACACCAGACCCTGTTGTGGGGTGCTGCAAGGCAGAGTGAGGCCATGGGCATATTCTACATGAGGGGCTGGCAGTGAGCCAAGGTGAGGTGGCAGGAAGTGTGAGGAGGTAACTGACTGGGTCACAGACCTGGGCCCATGTGTACATAGTGTCAGGGCGGAGCAGTGTGAAGACCAACCTTTGGGAGTAGATTGGGGTGTGCTGGCAGCCCCCCGTCAGAGTGCTCTGGTACCACACTGCCGAGCTACCTCCGGTCAGACTTGTGGGCTGAGCCGGCTTTCTGAGGGTGACGAACCTGGTGCATCCCAGGTGTAACTCTAGCGTGTCCAGGTTGGCCTCTGAGGCGCAGTGACTTCGTAGTCACACTGTCCTCTGGCCGGGTGGCACCTCGGCTACCTCACGATCAGCTCCCTGACTATCATGCGATGAAATTCACACATAAGGTAACCTACCAACACACGAAGTTTAAAAAAGAAAAGTGTGACGTTCTATAGAAAGGGGAGACAAAAGGAAAATGTTTAGGATGCAATACTTAGTATTTCAGTATCTAAGTGACCGACGAGGATGGCATTAACAGACTCGCTTACAGATTCCCCAAGTGTCCTAGCTCCGCAGGAGCACCCGGTGGGGACAGGCCATGCTGTGTATTGCCAAATGTTTTACTATTGCATGTTTTTACTTTAGATAAGTGCACTAAAGTTCATTTCCATCTGCCGTATCGATGGCAGTTCTTGGATGGAGGCAAGTGGAAGGATTTGGACAAAATGGAGCTTATTGAAGAGGCATACAGCAGTCCCAGAAAAGACAGGTATAAAACACATCATTGGTGTCTGCTTTGTGCTTGGGCTTGTGTGTGTGATGTGGAAAGTGTAGACACAGCAGGGTTTCTTTCAGCGTGTAGACACAGCAGGGTTTCTTTCAGCGCTCTCTCTCTCTCTCTCTCTCTCTCTCTCTCTCTCTCTCTCTCTCTCTCTCTCTCTTTCACACACACACACACACACACACACACACACACAGAGTAAGCAGGCTGATGTAGAGGTGGACACTGTTTATGGAAGCTGGCAGTTTCTGGCACCTTTCCTTTCAGGAAGGAGATGTGGGGAAAGGAGTGTTCCGGGTAAGTTCTGGATTATTTCATGCTGGGATTGATCACACATGTTACGTGCAGTAAAGCACAAAGAGTAGCTTATGAAACTTCAGCCTTTGCCCTGAGAAGTCATAGTGCTGAGCCTGTGCTGCTGTTCGTCCCTTACCTGTGTGTCCAGGCTTTTCAGTCACTTCGTCAGCTCAGAATGGAGGGCGTGCTCCGGGGAGCTTCATGTTCAGATACTTACCTTGGGTTGAGTTTACTGGAATTTGTTGCCAAGAAGAGACCATTTTTGACTAGGTAGAATAAATTGGTGCTGAGAGTGCTATTAGGTGCCAGTCGTTACTGGTGAAGCAGGCGAAACAAAGTGTTTCCCCTGGGGAAACACTCTGCCACGTTCGTCTCTCCCTTTACACACCGAAGTGCCAGATACTAGTGTGGTAGTTCAGTGGGTTTTGACAAATGTGTGCATTTGAGCTGTGTAGCCAGCACTCAGTCCAGCTAGAGATCATTGCCATCACCAGAAAGCCCCTTCGGCATCCTTCCCGTCAGTCTGCCACCACGCTGTCACCAGAGATCAGTCTTGCCTGTTCTGTTGTTGCTGGGCACATTCTCTTAGTTCATTCCAATACCAGTCTGAGGACCAGGGTCCAAGAACTCTCAGATAACCAGCCAGAGAGCACAGATGGGAAAAGCTGGTTTGCAGTGTGCCAGCCGGCGAGGCCGCGCTTCCTGTGTGGCCACACCTCAGCCGGCCAAACTATTCAGCAGCTTCCTTAGCCGGAGCGGTCTGCAGCCACCGGTGTGGGCACCTCTGGTTGTTTCCGTCTGGCTCTGAACAGCTGTAGGGATCTCGGCAGGGGTCGGAGCAGCCAGCTCACCTTGGCAGAGCGCCAGAATGTGGTGCCACCCAGGCTTCCACTAAGGCACAGCCATTCTCACTGGCGCTGGGGCTTCTCCCTGAGGTCACCAGCAGGTCTGTCGCCCTGAATGCCAACTAGTATTACCTGTTCTTGAACCTTAGCTAAATAGACCACACCCGGACTGTCAGACGGGCATCTTTCTCTCAGGCGCTGTTCTTAACCTGCGTCATGCTGTCTCCAGGTGTCTAGGCGCAGGCGTCCATGGGTAGACGTACTGGATGGAGCTGGGGCCTGGCTCATGTCTTCGGGTGCCTGACTCTTCCACAGTGGTGGTGCTGCTTCCCCCCAACCCACCCCCACGAACACTCTCGTAATTCGTCTCCCTACCCTTTGGCCATCTGAACTTTTCCCACTCAGGGGTTTCAAATAGCACCTCAGTTGCGCGTCCGCTGAGACAAGCAGCCTCTTCATGTGTTAGCCATTTGTGCGCCTTCTGTTGTGACGTGTCTGTTTTTATGGTTTGTCCATTTTGTTGGAGGGAGGATTATGTTACTGAGTTATTAGTAATAATTAGAGCTATCATAATATACTGGCATTAGAAAATATTTGAATTTCTGGTTACTAAATGTGCATAGAAAATAAAATCTTTCAGTTGACTTTTGTTATCTTTTATGAAAAGAAGTTTTTGAGCTATCTTTCCCTTTATGGTTTTTACTCTTTGTGTCTTAAGAAATCCTTCCCTACCCCGACACCATAAAGAAATTTTCGTTTAAGAGTTGATACCTTAAGGGCTGTATTTGTATTTGCGCCCATCTGCTAATGTGTTTGTGTTCTGATGCAGATGAATTACCAGTTTCCAAAGACTTTTTTTTTTTAAGTTTTATTTATTCATTCATATAGAACTGGGGTACAGGCCAGAGGCTCAGAGGCGGTGAGAGGCTTCACCAGAGACAGAGTGGGGAGCAGAACAGGCAGATCGAGGAAGTACACCACTGAGGGGAGCAGCGGGCGGGTCAGGAGGGGTCTGCCGCGCCATGTGGTCACCTCCTGGGCAGGCGGGAATCGAACTCATGTGGAAGTGGCTTTAGCTTCTCAGTGCTGTGCTTTTACCCTCTGCGCCACCAGGGAGGGTCTCCAAAGACTTAACAATTTTTTCTTAAATACACATTCATGGAAAATTTACCATCTTAGCCATTTTTCTTAAAGATTTATTTATTTATGCATGTAAGAGCTGGGGTGCAGGCCAGAGGTGCAGGGGCGGTGAGAGGATTCCCCAGAGACACAGTGGGGAGCAGAACAGGCAGATCCACTGAAACACGCTGCTGAGGGGAGAGCGGGGCCTGTGAGACAGGAGGGATCTGCTGCACCTGACTCAATTATTTTCGCCCAGCGAAACTGACCTGGAAAGTGGGCCTCCCTCCAGGAGAGCTGTTCTGACGGGCTGTCACTCACCTTCTCATGCACCAGCCAGGCCCCCAGAGACCAGTGGTGGAGACGGGGGTGCCTGTGTGATCTGGGCGGTGCATTCCAGTCTGCCGCTCTCATTCTGTTGTAGGATCCTCTGCGCTGAGTCTGCCAGTAGCTTCCATTTGGACTACCTGAACTTCGACGTCATGATGTTTGGCACTGCCCAGGCTCGCCGCCTCTCCACAGCCTCCTCGGTCACCAAACCCCCACACTTCATCCTCACCACTGAATGGATTTGGTACTGGACTGATGAGTTTGGTTCTTGGCAGGAATATGGGAAACAGGTAAATGGGATGGGAAGGGGGTGAGGACTTTCTCCGTCAGAGAAAGTGCTCATGCTGAAGGAGCTGTTCCACGCCCCTGCTCTGGGCTGCTGCAGTGCGTACTTCGTTGAGCCAGAGATCCCAGGTCCCCATGTTACCTGCCTGCTTTGAGGGATTATAGCAGAGCCAGATTTGCTGGAGTTGGTTTGTATGAGCTTCCCTCTCTGAACAGTCAGATGACGGGGGGCTTGTGGGCTGGAATGACAGCAGATTGCAGTGAGGTCACGTTTCTCTGTCGGTTTTATTAAGGAGGTAGAAGCTGCATCCCTGTTGGACAGGTAACTCTGGGGGGAGGACCTGTGTGTGCAGGCACATTTGTGTGGCTGTCGGATGAAGTTTCGGGCTCCGCAAAGCTGCCTTTTTGCCTGACCACTGGCCGCAGCTTTACAGTTGGCGGACATGAATAAGAATCCTGATTTCGGGTCTTGAGTGGACATCTGAATGCATCTGAGTGAATCACTGATGCTGTCAGTTATTTAATGATGTTCACGGATGGAGTAGAGTTATAGGGAGACGCCCAGTCACCTGTAGAGGTACAGGCGTAGGGCAGTCACTGTGTCGGTAGGGACTCTTTTCAAAATGAAAATTGGGGTCTGTGGTCTAACAGGTGCCGCGTTATTCTGGCTCGCAGGGGGAGTTCTAGTAAAGCTTGGGTTCTCATTCCAGCTGCACTTGGACTAGCTTCTTTCTGGGAGCAGTGTAATGTGAGCTGCACAAGGGCTCCTGCCCTCGTCTCCCTAAGTTTGCCTGGGATGATGCCTGCACTTCTCGGGTCTCAGGACACAGATACGGACTGGTTGGAGGACAGAGGCATGACTGCCTGACACTGACCCTCTCATCCGGGGGCCTCTCTGACTTGTTCCTCGCTCTGTTTCTTCTAGCATCAGCCTTTTCTCATCAGCTGCTCTGATACCTTCCCACCACCTTCTCTGTCTGCCTGCCTGTCTGCCCAGGCTTCTTTGCAAGTGAATTTGTCGAGGAAAGCATCACTCTGGGGGTGGCTGGGAGTATGAGGGGAGAAGCTGTGCCTGACACTGAAGAGTGACAGGGGATAACATCTGGTTCCGCCTTTAGGGCTCAGGCTTACTGGTGACACTGGGAAGGGATGCACGCAGACCAGAACCCTGAGCAGACACGGCCATCTCTTGTGTTCTGTCTGCTGATTCATCTCTTCTTGGGGGCCAAGCTCTCGGGGAGCTGCCTGGATATCATGGAACCCTGGGGGCAACCTTCCCTGGCTGGCTTCTTGAACTGGGTTGTCACAATTTGGGATCCCGGAGCTTTCTTCTCCAGACAGCCTACACTTGGGTTCTCCGGTTTACCATACCACCCCTCCATATCACAGGCTAGCCAAAGTGCACAGCCTCTTATAGAACAGAAGACTCTTGGTCCCACCTTGAGCACCTCTGTCGTGTGAGGTCGGTCACACTCGGGGTCTTCCTTCATTGTTGCAGGTTCTGCTCTCACATAGTGTCTGACTGTTCCCCGGCAGGGCATGGAGCACCCCGTGACCACCGTCAGCAGCAGCGATGTGGAGAAGGCCTACCTGGCGTATTGTGAACCAGGATCTGCCTCCGAGGCAGCCATCCTGAAATTCCAGGCTGGAAAGCACAAATACGAGTTAGACTTCAGAGGTAATGCCTCCCCCAGCAGAGCCGGCCACGTTAACTGGGGGAGCTTAACACACGTGTCGGGTGTGTCCCTTCCTGAAGTGCTGCCTCTGGGGAGAGTAGCAGATCTGTGACCAGGAGACAGCTCAGGGGTGGGAGAAATGCCTGAGCCCGGGGTGATAGGAGAGGACAAGCACCCTAAGGGAAGCATGCAGAGCCAGCAGTGTCAGCTGGGGTGCAGAGGTAGTTCCCTCTGTGGGCGAATCTTTATCTCAGAGTTGACCTTGGTCCCCGACCAGGGACTTGGCTGTGCTTGGCCTTGAATTCCCAGTGCATTATTCCCTTCCCATGGGCACTTTCGGCTGGGGGATGCTGCCAGGGATGGCTGGATGCAGACTTTTGCTTGTGTCAGACACAGGCAGACAGATGTGGCATGTTCTGTGCAATTTGTGAGCATTTTTTTTTTTAAGTTTTAATGTTTTGGTGGCTTCTCTTCAGCCATTTCTGCATGGAATATCAGTCCAGCCCTGCTCACTTTAGTTATGCCTTTCAATCCATATTTCAAACTCTCAGTCCTTTGTGTATTTTAAGGGAACTAAGTAGGCCTTCCTTTAAACACAGTTTCCCATTTGCTCTACTTTCTTCTGGGCCTTTGTTCCATGTGGAGGGCCGTGAGGGTCTCTTGTCTAAAGCTGCTGTCCCTGCTCACTGTGAGCCACTTGGTTGCCCGCGACATGGTAGCCCTCGGCGTTAGCTTGAAGTCTAATCACTGCCCACTCCACGTGCCCTCGCCAGGAACCTGAGCACTTCTGCGTCACAGCAGAGCTTTGGGTGCCCACTGGGGAGCACCAGCTGCTTGAAGAGCCCGTCAGTGCCACTAGAGCTGTCTCGCTGTGGTTGCTAATGGGTTGAAATATTCCTTTTAAATATCTGGGGAATATCAAAAGAAATAAACCAAGAATGTCAGCTGCTGCTTTTCTGATTCTCAACTTAGAATGTCCCCCCATGAGGTGGAGCAGGAAATGGGATCAAAACCAGTGGGGGGAAGGAAATGCACTGGACTGTGGTGATGGCACATGGGTGATCTGGTGATGGGAAGCCCACGGGGATTACAACTGAGATGAAAAAAAATGCACAAAAGGATGTAAGAATAAGCTATTATATTATTTTTAAAAAATATTTTGGCAATTCTCAAAAAAAAAAGTCCCCCCGTGACTCCCCGTCTCTGGCTCCCCTGGGGGTGGGTCAGCAATCAAATGTAGGAAAAGCGCACATATGCCATTTACTGCCAACTGCAGGGAAAATGACTTACTTGCCTGAGCTCAACCTGGGTAGATATCCTTTTTTTTTTTTTTTTTTAAACAATGTGAGGGTTTAGATATCAGCAACCACAGAAGTTTGAGGTGAGTTACACCCCGTAGTGAGGTACTGAGAGGTTACGATGGAAGTGATTCTCAGACCCACACCTGCCACTCATTTTTCGACTAAGCTAATATATCGAGGGACTTACATATACAACAGGTCATGTGACTTGTTCTGTAGAAGCTCTGTCCTTTGAGAGAATCTGTCTCAAGAGAGTTACTCAAGGCAAATACCCAGGCACCAAAGGCAGAATATTGACATTTGTTTGATCTGCACCCAAAGGTCAAAATTCCTAAGTGCAGGGCTTATTTAGGGATTTAGCCTGCCTGTGCCCTCTTTAGAGTAAATTCAGGGGAAAGACCTCACTTGACCTTTTGCCAGTCTATATATCATGAATAATTTGATTTCACCCTGAAAACCTGTTTGAGATGTCAGGCATAGGCCGGTAAAACTCTAGAAGTTTACTAGCTGGCAGCTTATCTGTGGAAGGCTGAGTGTGGGTTAACAAAAGGGGTTGTGATAGCCGGGTCTGGATTTGAGCTCCCCGTAGGACATGGCGACCCCAGGAGTGCCCATTCTTGCTGAGTGCCTGAGCGACACGGGACACTGTGTAGGCTCAGCTACAGCACGGCAGGTGTAGAGCTTTCCAGTTTGGAAAGTGAGACATGACAGGGTTTCCTAGGGTAGGGTTTGGTGAGCGGGAGTGTGTAATCTATTTGAACTTTTTCATTTGAACTTTTGCCCAAGGGGCAGTGTTCACCACACCCCTACGATGAATCTGAGGATCTTGAGGTGGGAGTGTGGCAAGCTTTGTGTTTCCTAGAGGTGGTATGGGTTTAAGGAGCTGGAGAAATCTATTGAGTCAGTTTAGTCAAACTAAGGGGAAAAAAGTTATGAATGAAATTAGATTGACTCCAACTCCCACTGACTTAAGATGGGGTAATTTGGTCTCAGACTGAGCTGAAGCTTTTTTATATCCAACCTGGGAAAAATTGCTAAGCAAAATAATAGTTTAAACAAGATTGGAAAGAACAATTTAAAGGCACTCATGTATAATTGATATGTCAATTACTAATCATTCATCTATTCATTAAACCCTGTCTCCTAAGGATACCTATTTTCTTTATGAATATTTGAAATGTGAAAAAACTGCCTTTTAAACAGATTGATTTTGGCTCTCCACATTGAGATTAGCTTTCCAACCCTTTTAATTTGTGTTTGTAAAACATCACTGTCCTATGTGTGTGTGTGTGTGTGTGTGTGTGTGTGTGTGTGTGTGTGTGTGTGTGTATAATGTGGGTATTTTTGTTTTTCCAGCCTTTGTCCAGAAAAACCTAGTCTATGGCACCATCAGAAAGGTTTGCAGGAGGCCCAAATACGTGTCTCCCCAGGATGTGAAAGTGAAGCAGACCTGGTAGGTGGCCTATTGGGAGCGTATAAGAACTTGGTGTGTGTCAGTTTTGGGGTATGTGTCCCACATATAAGAAAACCTTCTGTGCCAAAAAGTGGGCAGAAGAGCTTAAAAGACACTTATCCAAAGAGGAGATGCAAATGGCCAACAGGCACATGAAAAATGCTCAGTGTCACTTATAATCCAGGAAATGCAAATCAAATCCTCACCCCAGTAGGAATGGCCAATGTTACTAACAACAAATGCTGGTGATGATGTGGAGAAAAAGGAACCTTTTTGCATTGCTGATGGGAATGCAAACTGGTCTAGTCACTATGGAAAGCTGTGTGAAGGACTCTCAAATTACTGAAATTGGAGCTAACACTTGACCCAGCAATTCCACTCCTAGGCTACCCAAAGGATACAAAGACATTAATTCAAAAGGAAACCTGCACTTCCATGTTCATTGCAGCAGTACTTACGGTAGCTAAATGCCCAAACAGTTGACTGATCAAGAAGACGTGGTATATATACACAATGGAATATTACTCAGCAATCACAAAAGATTAGCTTATGCCATTCTCTGCAACATGAATGGAGCTGGAAGGGATTATGCTCGGTGAAATAAGTCAGAAAGAAAAGAGAACTATCAAATGATACCAGTTGTAGGAGGAATATAAGGAAACCAAACATAGGGTCAAGAAGAGAAAAAAGACAAAACTTGTAGGCAATTGAGGCTTAAAGCAGGGGAGGGGGGAAGAGAAGGGACCAGAACAGGGGAGGGAAGAGCACAAGGGGCCATGGTGAGGGTTCATGGGTGATGGTGATGGCAGATTTTCATGGGAACCATACCTGAGGGGAGAAATAAAATTCTGTAAAAATAATGAACAATGATCTATAAAAAATTAAAAAATAATAAAAAGGGGAGGGAGGAACCTGCTGTGGACCGGTGGGAGCCCCGGATGGGACTTGTGCCTCAGCCTATCTGAGTTTCCTGCGCCTGTCCCTCCTCGGTTTGTCTGCACTTCCCCTTACTCAGTACCAGATCGCAGTCGGGGTTGACTGTGCTCCCTGGAAGGAATGAGAGCTCATGAAACTGAGTGGGTGTGCAGAGAAATAGTAGCAGTGGATGAAGAAACAAGAGACAATGTAAATTGATAAAAAGATGAATACTAGGTGTGCTTCTAAAGGTGCACTTGCAGTTTATAAAGCATTAAGGGAACAAACCAGACATAACACAGAATTGAGGAAAAAACCCGACACCAAAAAAGTGACATAATAAGGTATTATAAGATTTTCAGTGTATCAGTGGTGTTCCGGAGTCATGAAGATAATTCGTATAGATTTCTCAGGAAGCCAAAAGTTCCTCCTGACTCTAGACTCATTTAAAGCACAGCAAGGCAATAGTAACAATCCAATGCTGATATTTTCTCTCCATCTCTAAGTGATTGTATCTTCTGTGTCCTAACTTGGGGCCATCTTTTTGAACAACTCTTGGGAATTTTCTTTTTTTTTTTTTTTTTAAATATTAATTATCTCTCCATATAAGAGCTGGGGTGCACGCTAGAGATACAGAGAGTGAGAGGATTCCCCAGAGACAGAGTGGGCAGCGAATAGGCAGATGGACTCAGATACACTGCTGAGGGGGTCTGGGGAGACAGGAGAGGTCTGCTGTGCTATTTGGGTCACTTCCTGGCCGGGGACTAAACTCTTGCCCACTGCACATAGTGGATAGTTCTGGGACTTACCCTTTGCGTCACCAGGGAGGCCCTGTTTTGTTTTTAAAGTCAGATTTTTTATTATTAGAGCTTGGCAGATTTTGTTTCTATCGAAGCATTTTAGTTCCTCTTTGCCCTCTAGTCGCTGGTGGCTGGCTGCTCGGCGGTCACCCCGTGGCCGGGTTCAGATTGCACAAGCTCTTAGGCTTTGCCGGCCTCGTGGGTGGGAAGAGTGTGCCGTCATTTTAATTTACTGTCTCATAAGGGTGAGATTTAATATTTTTGATATTTAATATCTGCCACTTATGTTTCTTTTGCTTTAGGTTATATGTCCTTTGTCCATTTTTCTATCAACTTTTAATATTTTTCTTAAAATATTAAAGAAAGGAGGTCAGACCTGGCTTTGTTTTACTTTGCTCTTGGTCAGTTATGTCACCTTTGACTATGTTTTTTTTTTCATTGCTGTGACAGACAGCAGTAGCTGTGATTTGAGTTTTAGTCAGCTGTCTTGGTCTTGCCTGTGTAATGCTGTAGAGTTAGAATTTTCTCCACTGTCCTGGCTCCTGGTTATGGAAGTCGTTTTCCTACTCATAGTGTGCTTAGGGGAAGCTTGGAAAGATCTGTCTCCTTTCTCAGGTGGGATATTTCTTGTTGTCACCCTTAGTCTTCGGGGTGTCACAGTAGACACCAGATGACAAAATACAGGTGAGTGTTTGGTGAATTATGAGGACGATGCAGCAGTTCGGCTGTTGTCTGACCCCAGGTCTGCAGCTGCAGTGAGGTACGTGGTTCCTCTGGCCACATGTGGCAGCTGCTGGCGTCCTAAGTCCACTAGTGGGGCTGTTTGGGCCCCCAGAGGGAACTCCCAGGGTGGGTGACTCAAACAGCTCTCCTTGTACCTTGTCGCAGAATCGGAGCTCCTTATTCTTACAACACAGGAGTATCGCATCAAGTTCAGGAGAGCATGTGTGACCGAGAGCAGACATCTGCGCTCGATCCTCACTACACTTCCAGCCTCTGTGACAATATTTTACTCGTGACTGGGTCTTAATAGTAGTTTCTTTAATCCTCCTTTTGGCCATCTTATTCCACTCCCCTCCTCCCGACAACTAGTTTGGGAGTTATACACCAGAGATCACGACATGATCACACCCTGCACGATGTGTTCTGCACTTAGGTGTGCCATCTAATTACATGTGAGGTGTAGTGCTCCTGTCTGAATGAAAAAATCAAGAAATACTCTCCTGTCAACTGATAACCCAGGCCTTCATATACTTTCTTTCATTTAGCTTCCTCTCAACTTTCTTAAATTTCATTAATTTTGTTAGATTTTTAAAAAGATTTACTTATTTATCCATACAAGAATTGGGGTACAGGCCAGAGGTTTGGGTTGAGAGGATTCACCAGAGTCAGTGGGAAGTGGACCATGTGGATCTACAGAAATAGACACTGCTGAGGGGAGCAGCAGGGAGACAGGAGAGTTCTGCTGTGTCATGTGGGTCAGCTCCCTGGCTGGGGATCGAACTTGTGCTGCAGTGGCTGTGGACCACTTCATGGAGCTGTTCTTTAACCCACTGCGCACCAGGGAGGGCCCAGATACTGGGCTTTCATTTCCATTTTCATTTTCAAACAAAAATGAATCTGTCACCCATTTACTTAGATTTTTTATACATTTTATCTTCTCAAATGTCCTTAGATGAATGGAACTGTGGAAACTGTCTTGGTTTGCCTGTCTATGGCTTTATTTTTTCCCCCATATTGAAAGACATTTTCACTGGCTATGGAATTTGGGGTTGCAGCTCCTTTCCGTGAGAGCACTGAAGACTTGCCTCCACTGCCTCCTGGGCCGCTGAGAAATTAGCTGTCTGGCTGACTGATGCAGCTTTGCCAAATCCCACTTTTTCCTTTGGCTGCTTCTGAGATTCCCCATTTGTCTTGGTGTTGTGCCATCTCTCCGTGGCATGCTGGGGTTTTGTTTATCCTGTCAGAGACTCTTTGAGCTTCTTAAACCTTAGGTTGGTGTGTCTCATTACTTCTCTTTGAAAATTGCTTCCACCTGTTCTCTTTGGCATTTTGGTGACCCTCTCACCAGACTCGTCACTTCTCTTCACTGTATCCCCACTTCTCCCTCCTCCCCTTTCCGTTTCCTTATTGCTCCGCACCACACACTCTGGTAACTGCACCCCCAGGTCCTCAGCCCCCGACCCTGTCACCTGGAGGGCTGACCTGCCAGGCACATCTGCCCATCACCTGTCAGGACTGTGCCTTTCAATTTTGGAAGTTCAACCTGGTTCTTTTTCAAATCCTCCTGGTCTTTTTATAAAGAAGTTTTCTCTTAGTTGCAAAGCTTTGATTTCTTCAAACATAGAAAGAATGCTTTGTTGTTTAGTAATCTCTCTGGTAATTTCAGTATCTTAAGTCTTGGTGGGTTTGTTTCTGTCTGATTCTTCTTGTGAGACTTTGCTTAGTTACTTTTAAACTTTGCCATTTTCCTTGGATTGTTATTTCTGGTAGTTTCTGCAGGCTTAGGATGAAGGTATTATTGCATGTTGTGACAGCAGAAACAGCATTCTTGAATGGAGCAGGAATTATTGGAAGTTCCATTTTCATAGCCCTTTCCTTAGGGCCATTTCGCTCTTCAAACTCAGCTTATATTTATTTACTTTTAGAAGATTCATAATACGGTGCAATGTTACTGACACCCTGTCATTACCCTTGTTAATATTTATGCAGCAAAAAATATGCAGTCATTTAAAAAGGGACCTCTTAGAGACCACAGGTTGAGTCTTAGCAGAACACATCAAACCTCTACCACTAAATGACTTCGGACATAAGTTTTATGTTTTTCACAAACTGTTACTATGTGCCAGTTACAACTCACTGACGTTTGGGGAGCAAGTTTCAGAGCCCTTGAATTTCACTGTTGTAGGGACGGGCCCCAGTGTGCTGCTTTCACCCCCACATGCTGGTGGGATGCTGGTGAGAAATGAGCCCCCAGGCCCTGTTGCTCAGCTTGGTCTCACAGCAAAGCTGGAGGCACCCTCACACAGTGAATATTGGGGTCACATGCTTCCTCGCCTTGCCTGTGCTTTCAAGGGCGTGGTGCCGAGACTCAGTTGGATGGGGTCCACTCTGGGCCACTCCTGGTCATAGACTGATTGCCTCAGAGGAGTGTCTCAGTGTTTCTGTTTGTATTTGGTAGTGATGTCAAGTTCCAAGGCCCAAAGAACATCCCGGACCATTGGGACACATCGGCCCTGCCGGACCCAGGCTTTAAGGTATGGGGCTCTGGTGACCTCAGGCTTGGGGAGGGGAGGGTATTCTTACACATAGGTAAGTATGAACAGCTAAAGAAGCTTCTGGTCTAGGACATACAGGGGAGGAGGACAGAGTTGTCCATGGGGTTGTTTTTTTCCCCCAGGTCTTGGAGGTATTTTTGTTTTTTTAAGGATTTATTTTATTTCTTTTTGTATACAAGAGCTGGAGTGCAAGTCAGAGGTGCATGGGGGTTGAGAAGATTCACTAGAGACAGAGTGGGGAGCAGAACAGGCAGATGGACTGAAACACACTGCTGAGGGGAGCAGCGGGTGAGATAGGAGAGGTCTGCTGCGCCACCTAGGTCAGCTCCCTGGGCCGGGGATCGAACTCATGCTGCAGTGGCTGGGGATAGCTTCATAGTGCTGACACTTAAACCCTGGCGTCACCAAGGAGGACACTGAGCCTTGGAGGTCTTAATGCTGAATAACCACCCAGGAGATGACGGTGGCCCAGAGAAGAGGCTGTGTTGTGGGGGAGGATGTGTCTTATAAAGGGCAGGAATAGGAGCTTGAGAACTGCCTAGCCCGTAAATGCTAGTTTAACAAAGCAAGAAAAATAAAAGAAAACAGACACATATGAGTGTGATGAAGGATATTGAGGGAGGAGGGAACAGAAGGTTTTGCCGGAAAGTGCTAGATACTAGAAGACAAGAAGAGAAATGGCAGTTCAGCAGCTCACTGAGCGCCTGCTGGCTCAGAATTTGGGCTGAGTCCTCAGGCTGGTGTGGGCCCTCGGATGTGAACCACATGACTCGCCAGTCAGGTTGGCCTGTCACCAAACTGCAAAAGCTGCTTTCTGGGACATGACAGTTCCTGTCCTGGGAGGAAGCGCCTTGAGCTGAACGGAGCACAGACGCCGAGAGCACAGGCAGGACCGGGACAGGAGCCCTGAGAGTCCCCAGCACTGAGCTGAAGCTGCTGCCGGCAGCCACTGGCCCACTCACTCAGTGCTCTGACAGCAGCAGTGGGAGGAGCTGCCTGGGGAAGGCGCACAGCTGGGTGTGTGTGTGGGGGGGAGTAGTATGGGGCTCTGGCCAGCCCTTTAGCTGACAGGACTGCGGCGCCTCCCCGAGCTGGGACAGGGAAAGCGGGGTCAGGATGGGAGCTGCAAGAAACCCAAGAACGTGTGTGCCCCGCCGATCGCTGAGGGTCTCCGTGGGGAGAGGGGTGGTTGTAGCCCTGGCTTGGGTGGGGGAAGGGCATGTCATAGAGGAGCTTCCAAGGATCCCCAAAAGGGGCTGTGCTGCACCAAGCCTGGTGGAGCCAGGAGCAAGGAACCAGTTGGGGTGTAGGAACAGGTGGATTGTCACCCAGTGTGGGGTGAAGGTGGGCAGCCTTGGTCAGGGGTCTCCCGACCCTGTCAAGAGGCACTAAGGGGGCGGCCCAGCTGGGAGGAACACACAGCCAGGCTTGGGTTCCCTGCGGCCATCTGCCCCAGTGCCTGTGGTGTGGGTGCGCGCGGCATGCCTCTGTGAGATGAGCCCCCCGCAAGGACCGGCCCTCCCCCAGAGTGTGTGCCCCGCCTTCATGGCCGGTGTGTCCTGCCCTGTGAGGGCACAGGGAGGGGCAGGGATGTCCTGGGGTAACCCATGGTGTGGTGGTGCTCGCATCCCGTGCCTGCCTTCAGCGAGTTTCTCAGGGAAGTGCCTCGGGTCGCGTCCTTACCCTTGGAGTGTGGTGAGCAGTGTCGGGGCTTCCTGGCGGTTTTACCTATTTCGGAGTGACCTTGGGATGGAGCTGATCTACAGCCTGCGCTTCAACAGTAACAGTGAAAATCTTCGCCTCTTGCAGAAGATTGCCCTCAGCTTGTCCTCGGAGGAGTACCAGAAGGTGTGGGGCCTCTTCAACCTCACCCTGCCGCACTATTCTGTGCAGAAGATCGAGCGTGTCCAGAACCTGGCCCTTTGGGAAGTCTACCAGTGGTGTGTGGGGACGTGCTCCTGGGGCTGGTGACCCACGTCTGTGGTAGGCTGGCAGCTCAGTGACGGTGCCCCGGGCGGGGGGCTGTCCGAGAATGCAGCTGCACTACAGGAGTCAGGTCCCGCCTTCCTGCAGCTCATCTCTCCAGCTGAGGGCACTGGGGCTCCCGGGGGACAGGACCGTGCTCACCCTCGGCCTGTTTCCCTGAAGATGACCAGGACGGGCTGCCCTGGAGCACAAGCCATTGTCCTGCAGCCAGGGCGCATGTGCTTGCTACCAGGCACGTGTGTGGAGCAGGCCCTCATCAGGGCTCGCTGTGGCCTGGGGCTGGGGTGGGGCGGTGCCATCTGTGCTCTGGGCCCAGTGAGGATATCAGGGTAACATGGACCCCGCTGGTCCGCGTCTGAGACCCAGCTGAGGTGGTGGGCAGCTGCTGGCCTTCTGGGGCAGGTCTGCTGTGGACATGGAGGGGGTGGAGCAGGGACCCTCCTGTCACCTCCCATCCCCGGCCTGTGGCAGGAGTCTCCTGACCCTTTTAGCATTTTTGGTCATGTGTCTCTTCTTGGGCTGGGGGGCCTCTGCAGGGGGGTTGGGGGGTCCACCCTCAGCTGCCCACCCTCACTCCTCTTTGGTTTTAGGCAACGAGGGCAGATGCAGAAGAGAAACGGAGGGAAGGTGGTGGATGAGAGGCAGCTGTTCCACGGCACCAATGCCAGTTTCGTCGATGCCATCTGCCAGCAGAACTTCGACTGGCGGGTCTGTGGCCTCCATGGCACATCCTTCGGCAAGGGTAAGGGGGATGGCGGGACCATTTGAGAGCGGGCAGCTGGGAGTCTGGGGGTGAGCCAGTTCAAGCCCCGAAGTGACCTCCAGCCCTCTGGGGAGACACCCAGTGGTGGCCCCACCCCTCAACTCCTGCATGCACCACCAGGTGCCCCACCCCACATTTGAGCATGGTGGCCCTGCTGTGACCGGGCGTTGCTTCCCCAAGAGATGGGCCTCTGCCCCTGCCCAGTGGGGGCCCGGAGATGGTGGGAGTGGAGAGGGGAGCGGTGCCTCCGCCTGCCAGTCAGTCCTGGGACAGACCCGCTCTTCCCTTAGACGCCTGTGCACCTTGGACACACTCAGGTGGCTGGTCGCTGTGGCGTGGGCCATGTGGGAGCTTTCCTCTCTCCTGGCTATTTTTAAACTCTTGTTTGCAAATGATTTCAAGGGCACAGGAAAGTGGCCAAAATGTGGGCAAGTTCTTGAGCGTAGATTTCACCTGGACTAGCATCCTTAGCACTGTGCCTGCTGGCCTTGCCACCCCTTGAGTTTTCCCTTGACCACTGCGGGAGGTGGCACTTGTGCATTGTCCCCCCACAGGGAGCCCCAGGGTCCCCCCATCCCGTCAGACAGGGCCTGCTTACCAGGCCAGAAAATTTAGTAACAAAGCACACTCTGGTCAGCCGTCCCTCTCCCATCCCATGAGCTTGAACCCAGGAGAACTGTGGGGTCAAGATGGACAGGGGCCAGTGGTGCGTGGCTTGTCAGCCTGAAGGATGGTGGCAGTGCCTGCTCAGGATCCTCTTTGACAGGTTGAGGCCACTAGACTTGGGCTGCAGTGTCTGTTGGAGGGTCACAGGTTGGGTTTTGGTTCCCTTCCACCAGCCCTAAGACATTGGGCACTGTAGCCCCCTCTTATAAGTGAGGCTCAGTGGCTCAGAGGCCCTTAGCATTTGGGTGACAAATACAAAACATGAAAGTGTATGTCCTGGAGTTTGGTGGCCTCCCTCCTTGGGAGGGAGAAGCTGGAGAGAGGACAGAGGTGGTGATGGGCGAGTGGAGGCCCTCGGCTGGCCTGGTTGGCTGGGCGCTGGAGCGCCCCTGCCCAGAGCGGGCTTCCTCCCGGGGCTCCTGCTGATCCGTGTGTCCTTGCAGGGAGCTACTTTGCCCGGGATGCTGCGTATTCGCACCACTACTGTAAATCCGACACCAAGTGCCGCACCATGTTCCTGGCCCGGGTGCTGGTGGGCGAGTTCACCCGAGGCAATGCCTCCTTCCTTCGCCCGCCGGCCAAGGAGGGCCAGGGCGACCTCTTCTATGACAGCTGCGTGAACAGTATGTCCGACCCCTCCATCTTCGTGGTCTTCGAGAAACACCAGGTGTACCCCGAGTATGTCATCCAGTACACGACCGCGACCTCCTGCTCGGCCGGCGCCACGGCCCCAGCCGCGCCCCCCGGCCCCGCCAACCTGCTCTCCCTGGCCTCCCTGGCCTCCTTCTTCGGCAGCCGGCCGTGATCTCGGCCGGGGGTTGACGCCCTTCTGGCTGTCTTCCTTGAAACAGCTGGCTAGGCAGCCGGTGTTTTGTTTTAAACAAACTTTTAATGAACTGTTTGACATGACTTCCCAGTGAAGTCAGTCCTCTCTCGTCGAGTGCTCACTTTTAAGTCACTCGCGGGCTCACTGGTGAGCCAGCCGGCGGCGTTGTAGAGGGCCGCTACTGCTTTTTACTAGGATGTTCAGGTTTTATTTTTTACTCTTTGTTGACTTTGGCTGATTGGCACTAGGCACAGAGTACTAATTTATGGATTGATTTTAATTTTTAAGAGTTTCTGTCGCTCCAGCAATTTAGTTTTTTGGGGTGTCAGTGGGCTTTATTTTATTTTTGCCCAAATGACCCGATAGCCATTGGTAGGGAAACTTCGTGAGGCCGGGAAACACAGCCCTGTGTCGCTTTGCTCCCTCCCCTGAGCGTCTGCCTCGGAATCGGCCCTTAACCCACGCGCCAGTCAGGGCCACAGGGAGCTCACCGGTGCGCCCGCGGGCTTCCTCTGTCTGGGCGGAGTCATGGTGACCAGAGGAAGCCCCGTCACCTGACAGGTGACAGGCCAGTGGCTCCCGGACTCTCGAGCTTGACCATGAATAACTGTCCCCGCACCTCCTGAGCACACAGGACACCCTCCAAAAAACGGTTTTATGTCTCCATGAGCTGTGGCCACCTGTGCTGCCAGTGTCACACCAGAGTATGGGAATAAAAGAGTATTTCTCTGAGGGGAAGACGTGCTCATCATTCGGCGTCTGGGCAGCGAGCACCTGCTGGGCACCGGCTTGTTTGGCCTTGCGGGCGTGTCAGAGGTGGCCCCCGGCCTGAAGGCTGAAGGTCCCAGCCCTGGAGACAGCCTCGTGGCCACACGCTCGCACGCTGTGGGAAACTGCAGGGTGACACATTGTGGGATTTTCCTCTCCTGCTGAACCACAGGCCCCGCAGACCCAGATTCACAGTGGAGCGGAGCGTTCCGTAGATGCGGTGGGCTTGTCCCGGGCGTGTCCTCTGCGCACGGCGGGTTGCGGCCAACTTGGCTGGGCTCGGCTGCCCGTGGGAGGGCGAGGGCGTGGGGCTGGCAGGGCAGCTGCACCCTGAGGAGCCCCCGAGGTCTCTGCCCCTCAGCTGACAGCTCCCCCTTCAGACCTCAGGGGCACTCTTGCCTAAGCCCCATTTCCTAATCTTGCCTGTCATGAGTGCTTCAGCTGCTTTGTCCTCCAGTCTGGAGCAGGAGCAGGAGTGGGCTGGGACCTGACGCAGGTCAGCATCATCAGGCCCAAGGTGCGCGCGCACTGAACAGTGGGAAGGGCCGTTAATCCCACCTTCCTCACCGGCAGGGCCAGTTACAGGTGTACGTGGCATGGTTTCCAGAGCCTCCCCCGTCCGGAGCCTGAGATTTCATGCCTTGCTTTTCACGAGGTCACCAGGCCTACCACGCTGTAGTGGGGGTGGCAAGGAAGCCCAGGCAAACCATTAAATTGGGTGCTTGCTGCTAAGACTCAAATGTAATGAGGGCCCCCATCTGGCGCTGGTCAGTTGGGAGTGCCGGTGCAGAGAGCCGTGACCTGTGGAGCTTGAGGACTGAAGAGGCCCTGGGACTTGCTGGCCTTTCAGAAAGCCAGTCAGGAGGAGCAATGGCTTAACACCAGGAAGTGAGAGGGGCCACAGGCCCTGCAGTGGGGAGGTCAGGCCCTGTGGGAAGAGGTCACTGGCCCTAATCTCAGCATCTTGGTGCCAGGAGCTAGTGGGGTCTGGGGCTTGTGTGTGAGAGGAGAGGTGGTGAGGACCACATTGGGATGCAGCTGATGAGTTTTGCGGGGGGCCAAGGGCCTGCCCTCTGTTGGCTGGTGTGGGGTGTGAGCAGTGGGACCAGAGCTGAGCTAGAGAGCATGGGTTGCGACACCAGAAGGACTGGGAGGCCAGAGAGGGTCACCACAGGAAGTCTCACCTCTGCACACAGTGACAGCTGGACAGAGGTGAGGGAAGCCCCGCAGCTGATGGGCAGGGCTGGGATGGAGGAGCGGGGCTGTGTCCTGGGCAGGGAGCTGCCTGCTCAGCAGACCTCGCTGCAGAATGAGGCTCTGCTGTGGCAGGGCAGGGCTGGGTGGCTGTTCCGGGAGGGGCAGCAGGGGTGCAGCCGGCTGTGGGAGGGGCTGGAGGAATTTCCCAGGGCATGGGCAGCTTTAGGACTGTGGTCTGCCTCTTTCTGGGAAGCCAGAGAGAGAAGGGGGCCTTCCAGGAGAGCGTTTTAGGAGAAACCTGGGCTAAAAGGGGAGGACCGGAGAGCAGAGGCAGCCTTCTCAGCTGTGGGTTGTGGAACCGTGGAACGGCCTGAGCTGTCTTGAAGAGGGTCAGCGCCTAGATCCCGGTGCGGCGACATTCAGCCCCTTAACACTGCTCACCTGTTAACAACAGGATGGGTCTTTGATCTCGGTGGGTTCCAGATCTCATGAGTGAGACTGAAGCTGGTGGGGGGGTGGGGTGTGGAATGACAAGCAGCCATGCCCACACGTTGCTGGTGACGAGGCAGCGGCTTCAAGTGGCAAGTTCTTCGTAAAATTTCAGCTACTCAGCTCACGATAATAACCTTGATTAGAGACCTGTTTTGATTCTTTGATCAAAATTAAGAGATGATGCTCTCTAGAAGAAAAGCATGCTGCAACCGCTGTCCTTTTTCTGTGTGTTGAAATTTATTATAAAGTCAGCAAGTCAGCACCCCCCTCCCCCGCTCCCCCGCAAAGAAAAGCACAAAAAAGTTTTGAACCACCACTGAGGTGAGCCTCTGGGGGCCTCACATGCCCCAGAGCTGCCTGTGCAGGTGCTTCCAGTCTTTCTTGAAAGCATTTGCCACTGGCGTCAGCGGCCCTCACTGCAGCTCTCCAGGGCCCAGACCCTGTTGCGGAAGCCTGGCCAGTGCAGCAAGTTTTTGAGCCTTTAGGAGACGGTCCACTGCCAGGCCTCCTGTCACTTGTGATGCTTTTTCTAAAATCCTGAATTTCCACCTAAGTGTTTTCTTTGAATTTGGGGGTGCCCTGGCAACATTGTGTTAGCGGGAGACAATCTTGATGTAGACGCCATTTTTTGGACGTAGGGCGGATTTGGATTCTAGCTGCAGTGGTACCTAAAATAGAGAAGAGTCAAATGTTTGTCGCAGTACACAGTGTCTACAGGAAAGGTGGCTGGCTCTGAAGCAGGGCTCTGGGTGTTTGGCTTTGGGCTGGGAGATAGCTGGCCAGGAGGGAGCAAATCGCTTCCCCAACTTGAGTTTGAGAAGCAGCAAGGGGGCTGGGCAGTGGGCTCCCTTTCTGTTTCAGAAAAATACCGCAAGCCTGTGAGTGAGCGAGAGGTCACTCCACAAGTGGAGACGCGGAGGTTCAGACAAGCGAGAGGTCAAAGGTCACAGGACTGGAAAGCAGGGAGGAAAGCCTGACACCCCAACTTTACTCTGCCGATCTCCTCTCGCTGCCCTGCTCAGTGGGTAATTGAGTAGGCTTCTGTCTTCCCAACGGTTTTGGGGTGAACAGCCTCACACTGGCCCCTGCTCGTGGGTGCCCGACCCCACTGCCATGCAGAAGCATCCTACAAGCCCATCCATGGGAGACGAAGGCTTGGGAGAAAAGCCGATAGCCAGGCAGCTGGGTTTGTGCCTGAGCTGACATACCCTTCAGACTGTTGAGTGGCCAAGGAGTCACCAGGCTGTGGTGCTGGGGCCTGGTTGGCTCTTTAGATGTCCTTGAGGGTTGCCCTTCACAGGAGGGTGTGAGTTAGGTGCCCCAGAAGCAAGGTCTGCCCCGGTCCTGGCCGGTCCCATAGCCACTGTGGTGTGTGGCTACTGAGCACTTGAAATGGTGAGTGCAAATGAAGCGTTGTGTTTTTTACTTATCGTTAAAATTTAAATAGTCAAATGTGGTGCGTGACTATCTGTTAGATGGCTCAGGCCTTGACAACCTGAAACATCATAGGGCATCACAAAAAAGGAGAGGGCAGTGGGAGCTGGCAAAATCAGGGAGGGCTTCGTGGAGGAGCTGCTGCTGGGGGGAGGGGCTAGGGGTGGGAGAAACTGAGGAGGACTTCTGCCGGGCCACTTTGGGGTTTGGGGCCATCCCCTGGGTTCCGATAGGGTTAGGCCGGGGTGCGGGGAAGATCCCAATGGGCAGCTGCCATGCAGGCAGGGAGGACCCTGTCCCGGAGGACACAGTGGATTCAGCACTTATGGGAGCGCTGGCATAAGCCAGGGTTAGGACATTGCTCCTGTCAGGATCAGGAGTTCAGGAGACAAACCCCTAAGGAAGCCCCGCACACGTGGAACGCCTGAGGCAGCGGGGCCTCCCTCCGCACCTCCCTGGGCTCTGTGCTCTCAGTGCACCCCTTCTCTCTCCGGCCCTGACCGCAGACTTTTGTGGGCATTGCACATCCAGTACCTCAGTCTTTTGTACTGCAGTCAGATGCTTTATCCCCTTGGGCCCCCCATCCGATCTCCTTGTTAAGGCAGTGCCGCTCTGAACCTAGATTTGCAAGGACATCAGTAGGGCTCACCTGAGTCTCAGAGCAGGCTTCAAAGCGGAACTTGCACAGGACCTGGAGCAGCGTCAGCTTGACCTCCAGCAGCCCCAGCCTCACCCCAAGGCAGCTCCGGGGGCCCGCCCCGAACGGCAGGTACGTGAAGGGCCTCCGCTGCTGCTGGGCCTCGGCCGTGAACCTGCAGGGCAGCACGGTCAGGCTGGACCCAGACCTGCCTCCATTCCTGGGGCCTCTTCAGCTACTGGGTCTGGCCGAGGGACCCCTCATCTGGGACCAGATGGTCCCTAAGAATCCTGTTTCCTCACGGCTGGTCCCTAAAACTGGAGCTGATGCTTAAGCTTGGATCTAGCACGCCTCCTATTTGCAAAGTCCTACGGGCACTGCTGGAATGTCAACCTTGACCCAAGCCCCTGAAGAAGTCGCTGGCGGATTGGTGTGCCTGAGGTTAATGAGGAGCATGGTTGAGGAGCCTGAGGCTTGCTATCATCCGGAAAGGTAAGAGTCTCAGAGCACAGTTGGAAGGCTCTGAACTTCCCCAGGGCCGAGGGTGATCCAACCTTCACCTACTTCCTTAGCAGACTCTGGGGCACCAGCCCTTCTCACCGGCTATCCCTGAAGGCTGTGTCCGTGCCACACTGGCCAGCTGTCTCCCCTGCTTCACTGGTCAGGCAGTGAAACTTGAACCTCTGGGGCTGCTGTCTTAGAAACCCTGGAAGCCCTTCCTGGGGACTGCCTGTCTGTAGCCAAGAACAGCATTTCCCACGGAGCTAGCTGACCACTCCCACTACCTGTGGACTTCTCTGGGCCCACCGAGTCTTTGGCCCACCCTTTTCAGCACTGTGTTAACCCCCTTTTTGTTTTCAAAGGTTGAAATAGTGCTTAACCTTGATCGCATTTCCAGGAATTGTGTGGCAGGGTTACGAACCAGGCCCCACCCTTGCCAGATGGGCCAGGGAGGAGCAGCACCCCAGTGTCCTGAGTTGCTGTGTGGCTCCCTGCCTGGGACCCTGAGGGTGAAGGTTAGACAGAGGACCTCGCCCATATGGGGGAAAGCCGGGAGTCACAGGCCTGTCGTGTTAGCATCACCACATTCACAAATAGGGGGGAAATTTCGTTGAGACTTTTGGAACAGGCATAAAACAGGTTGTCCATGGCACATCCGTGTGCAAACTGCTCCTGTTTCGTGAGTGGCTCTAACAGAGGATGCCTGATGACCTGCCTCGCTCCTGGCACGGGGAACTGCCACACCGCCACACCAGCTGTAGGCCCAGTGGGTTTTCTTGGTAATGGTACAGCTACTTCCTTTGGAAATGATGCTTCGGGACTGTCTGGCCTGGCTCTGACTGAGGCCACCGCTGAATCACAGCTCCCTCCCTCCAGGTCCCCCAGGGTCCATGTGAAGGGGCAACTCACCTCTCCGGGTCGAAGACCTCGGGGCGGGGCCAGTGCTCAGGGTCGTGGTGCAGGGCGCCCACCGCCGTCTCCACCACGGCGCCCGCGGGGATGCGCTGCCCCAGCACCTCACAGTCCCGTGTCGCCTCCCGTGTGAACCTGCGGGGACACAGGGTCACCCCATCTCTGTGAAGAGCAGACCAAGTGGAGACCCCACAGGGCAACCGCAGAAGCTGGGAGACAGCAGGCCCAGCCCCTGCTGCGGGGGACCCGGGGGATGGACCCCCCTTAACCCCCCATTGCTGGGACCTTGGAGTCGCTAGGCCCTCTGGGCTTCCTCTGTGCAAGCACTCACCCGCCCCAGGGGTTCACCTCTGTCAAGCCGGAGGAGGGCTGCGCCCCATGAGTGTGAACGGGCTCCTGAGGCTTATTTCTGGGGCCTGCTTGCGGGTTCCTCCTGGGCTATGGCCAGGCCTGTCCCCCTGCTCAGTCAAGTCTCCTCACCTTGCCCTCCCAGGCCCTCTGCTCACTTCCAGGACATTTGGGCTTGAGGAGAACTTCTAGAAAGGAAGCCTCCCGTCAGAGTGTTTCTCTTACCACATGGCAATGGCATAATCCGTGCGTCTTATTTTTAAAGACTCAGGATAAAGTTTCCAGGTATTCCTGGGAGAAGGCCTATACTACCACCCTGTCTCCCATGAGGGGCAACACTGTGGTGAGGGCTGGTAGGGGACTGGGGTGCCCAGTTTTTCTGTGGGGCATGTATTATTTAAGGTTTAAGTATAAGCATTTTTTGGGTAACATAAACAATTATTTTAAAAATTGAAAGTAACTTGGCTGGCTTTTCCTTCAAGTTGCAGGATTTGGCGTCTCTAAATAGCTTAGAGGAGCTAAAACTATTACCCTTGTTCCTGCTTGGAAAAGAAATGAAGAGCAACATGTGACTCCCTCAACTTGTGAGCTTTAATAGAGCAGGCAGGAACATGAAAGGTGGGGCGGGGGCCCCACCCAGATTCTAAGCTACTAATGCGGTGAATGTGTACACGGCTGGTCACGAAGCTGCGGCTCAGGTCAGAGAGGGCAGGTGGGGACTGCAATGCCACCTGGTCCTAGAGGGGTCACACCACGCTCTGCTCGGCACCCCTTCTTTTTCATCGCACCAGAAACCGCCTGGCCCTGCCTGCAAGACCCGCTGCAAGCCAGAAAGTGGCGCCTTCCCCGTGAGTGGCTGGCCTTCTGTCTGGCTAGACCAGGCCACGTACAAGGCCAGAAGCCTGCTGAGTTCTACTGAGCGGAATCCCGAATTCACATCAGTAACCCTTCAGCAAGAATTGTCAGGTGTTTTCACAAAGCCCATTCACAAGTTTCCTTTATGGGGAAAGGGGTTGGTCAAGTTGTGTCAGAGTCTGGGACAAGCCGACAGGCTTTCCTGAGAGTAACACAATCAAATAATAAAACCATACAATCTCATTCTTCCTGTGCTCACTCCCAAATCCCATATCTGGGCTGAAGCAAATTGCCTCTTGTCTGGGTGAGAATAACAAAGGCCTCCCTCTCACTTCTGACAACGGAAGCCCTGGCTGGGATGGCACAGGGACACAGGAAGGCAGGCCAGGGAGTGGACCCTGCTCTGGGGGCCACATTGAAGCTGCTTGTGGGACTCGCATCTTGGGTCTTGCTCCTGGGGTCCTACTTTAAAGGATACAGGGTTTCCACAGGAACTATCCCACTGATTCTTCCAGAACATGCATGTGGGAGTTGGGGAGGGGGGAGGCAGAAGCACAGAGCAGTACAGAATGTACCCCAAATCACACATCTCTGGGACTCAGGGGCGAGGCAGTCTCCACTGCTGTCTAGACTCATTCTATGTCGTCATGAAGTTCCATGTGGCTTTATGAGGGAATTTGAACAACTTCATCCCGATTCTCTCATTTCTGTCCTGCCTGGGGGTGAGATTAGCAGCATGCGGGGTCCCTGACTTCTGTCTCTAAAGGGTTGGCAGGAGCATTTGGGCCAAAGCATTGGGTGCCAGTGTGCCATCTGGGCCAGGTGTTGTGATGAATTTTTGATTGGGTTTTGAGTCAGGTACTAATGTATCTCTCTTTGGCCGGTCACTTCCCCACTCTAGAGAACACAACTGTCTGGTTTCCCTCTCGCAGGAGCCTCAGCTACTGTGCCTGGTCGACTCCAGCAGGGGCCATCTCTGGGGTCCTGTCAAGGCTGCTTGTCTTTAGACAGCCCTTGTTCTGTTTCATTCCTGAATGTCTTAGTTTGATCCTTGATGTGCATAGCGGCTGGCACAGAGGCCTTGCAATACAAGAAGGAAGCTGGCAGTTGGCTCTGTGGCTCCTGGGGAGACCTGGGAAAGCTGGTGGCCATCTCCCTGCACCTCGAGGCTCCCAGGCCAGCAGCCCCACTCTGTATGCTGAGATGATGTTGGCTAGTCACAGCGGGAACTCTCTGGATTTGCTTGGGGTCTGAAAGTTTGGACAAACAATCATCACACTCTATGATATTTTGGTTTGAAATACCTTCAGGTCACACATGCTTTTTCTTTTAAAATGGGGAAGGTGTCTCCACATGGTGTGTGGGGTATATTATTGCATAGCAACGTGGAGTGGAGTGATACAAAGTCAGTGCTTTGTGTTGCTTCTGTTTCTAGAATCTGAAATCTGGTCACTCTCTGGGGACCTAAATTAAGATTTGTACTCTATGGGGCAGCTCACTTGGGGGGCTTTAAAGAAGCAGACCTGACTTCTGCTCTTCAGGCTGGCACAGTGGAGAAATGTTGCCAAGTGCTTGAAACCTGTCCAAAAATATAACCTGCTGTACAGTTACAGGCAAAAATGCCAGGAGAGGCAGGGAGGGACGAGGAGGCATGGCCCAGCGAGGCTTCCAGGGTGCTGAGTTTGGTCTGGTGGTTGAGATGGGATAGGAGTGGGTACTAGAGGGCAGGAGGGTGCACCCCAAGCCTGGGATGGGGCCCCCAGAATGTCTGACAACGGTTTTATCTGTTTTGTACAGGAATGAGTCAGTGCTTGGCACGGAATAGAGGCTCAATAATTGGCTGCAGTGAGTGAGTGAGCAAAGCCAGGAGGCCAGGAGGCTGGCTTGGGCTGCAGAGGCAGGCCATGCTAAGAAAGGCTGCCAAAGCTCTGAGAAGGTGTTAACCTGTAAGAAAATGGCTCAGACCCAAATAGGTTGGCCACAAGCATGGGAGGCCTTGTGTCTGGTGCCCTTGGGGATGCCAGGGAACCCAGGCCTGGGCCTTGTACCTCCAGGGACCGAATCCAGTGTTAGTGATGGTTCAGGCATGGACAATGGCACCTGCAGGCATACCTGAAAGCCGGTGGGTACATCCTCAGCGTCTCTGCAATCACCATGTCCAGGTAGGGCAGGCCTTCCTGCAGGCTGCAGTACTCGGGGGCCGGCTGATGGAGGATTCAGAGTAAAATACTGTCAACTGAGACGGAGCATGCGGTGTCCTGGCCTCCCCACTAATGTCAAAGTCCTGCTCCCACTTTAGCAAACGCGTTGATAGAAACGCCACAGAATGGGTCGACTCCACGGGATGGGCCGACACCACCCACCCACGCTGCATTTGGGGCACTCTGCCTGCTGGGCAGAGTCCACATGTCCTGTTGCATGTAGCTTTACTGAGGACAAGCAGGTCTGGCTGGGCCACGGGGGTCCCTGAGTACAGGACAGAGCATTTTGCTTATAAACAGTGGGGGGTAGCACAACTGCTCGTTTCTTGGAGCCGATGCTACGCAGGTTGGCAGGTTAGAGGCACAGGCTCGGCTGGTTTATTCCTCCCAGCGGGCCTGCTAGTCAGCTGATCTCCCTCTCCTTAGATGCAGGAGCCGCTTAGAAAGGCTGTCACACCGGTGGTAATCAGTCCGTGGCAAAGTTAAAAGTCAAAGAGTGAAGTGGGAAAAAAAAAAGCTTAATAGTCACAAGAACCCAAAGAGCCACTGCAAGACAGTGAGACAAGAAACGCCAGAGAAACTGGTCGGGAAAGAGGAAGCAGTGCCGGCGGCCATGATGGCAGATGCAATCAAAAGGCGAGATTCTGTCTTTTCACCCGTCAGATTAGGACATATGGGAAAATACTGATTGGATCCTCGGGGTAAAGTTGTGAAGAGGCGAGAACCCAGCTCCTGTGATGGGGAACCCTAACGTCCCCTGGCGGGACACTGTCACTTGGCCTGAGGAGGAGAGACACTCGGTGAGTTGGGGAACAGATCTGGGTGTGCCTGTGGCTGGGATGGGTTCGAGCGGGGTCACTGGAGGCTTACTGCTGTTGCACCAGTTTCCCTGCATCAGGATTTCCCCTCAGTCCCGTGGCTTCGGGCTCCCTCCCTGGAGGGGTTGGTGGGCGACCTCCTGGCTTTTCCTTTGCTTTCTCCTGTCCTCCCCTCCCAGGGCAGCAGGGGGCAGCACCAGGGCAAGTCCAAGCTGCAGACGCGGCCTTGCCCTCCCGTTCACTGCCCCACCTTGGTGGGCCCCGCTGCCCCTCCAGCAACCCGCTTCAGCAGCAACCTTAGAAATGCAGAGCCCAGGGCACCCCACAGACAAGAGCAGCACAGAAACTCCCGCGAGGGGGCACACAGCAGGTACGTGCGGAGGCGCTAAGCTGAGTGAGGAAAACATGGGGCGGAAGGGAGCTTGGGAGATCGGTAGCAGGTGGGGCCCGGGGCCAAACACCTGGAGTCTTGCAGTCCAGGGAAAGCATGATCTCTCCGGTGCAGCTGGCCCACATCATGTGGACATTCCAGCGGTAAGAAGTCAGGTTGCAGAAAACGTGGGCCGTTTAATGTTTATGAATTTGGAGGACAAGGAAGGGAACCCCACGCAGTCATCAAATGAAAATGATCCTTGATTCCCCCTATCTTTGCTTCCGAGACTCGGGCTACAGAAGCTCATCCTTTACCCACCCATCCTCCTCCACCCCAGGCCAGCAGGGCGGCGCACAAGCCCTGCACCCACAAGTGACCCGGGCGCAAGCTTCTAATGCCCTGTCTCCCTCTTGAGTCTTAACCGTCTCTCTTGGCTGGGTGTCTGGAAGCACAGTGGGACAACAGGGGCAGGTTTGGTGCTGGGCCTGGCTCACCAGGTCCAGAGGATTAAAGATTTTGGGGCATCGGAGCCTACCGTGAGTCTGGGGACGGGCTATGATAAAGGGGATGCCTGGGCAACTCCCCTGGACCCTGCCTCGGGCTAGTCTGGCGCTTGGGTTTGGGGACTGGCAGGAGTGGCAGCCCCTTGGGCACCATTGAGGCCTGACTCCCTCCAGCCTCCTCATGTCTGGGGAGCACTCCCTTGGGGGGGGGGCCTGAGGCACCCTATTTCCTTCCAGTCTTGACTAGTTTGGTTTGTTTTCTGTCTCTTCTGTCCCATGAATCACAAAATGCAAACTGTGTCACTTTCACCATTCTGCCTGTGAGTTCAGTGTCCCCATAGTTACACTTAGAAATAACATCGCACAATCTAAGGAGGAATGGTAACAATTCAAATTTTAAAACTTCTATGTTTCTGAGAGCGACATTCAGTTGAAAACAAAAGCCCAGAGACTCGTCAGAGGCGGCGGAAGAGAGGAAGCCCTAGATGCCCTCCGCTGCGCCAGCAGTCTCCCTGCTCTTTGACCCTTTGATAAGGACCCCGTATTTTCAAGGACAGATGGTGTGGACGCCCTGTGACTGCTGGTCCCCGGGCAGGTCTGACCCAACTCAGTCAATGTAAACGTTCAGATCCGGCAGAGGAAAAGGAGCTTGTCTCAGCAGGCGGAAGTGGAACACAGGGGAGTCAAACTCTGCCCTGCCCCCCTCAGGGCCTCAAACAGCAGCTGCCAAGAGGAAGGAGAATGCCCTAGATGCTGCTGCAGAGGGGCCGAGGCTGGGGCTGAACACGTGTCCCTGGGCCCCAGAGCTCCTGCCTGCCATCTGCTCTTTGGGCCGCCTGCTCCTGGCCGCCCCTTCCAGCAAGTTCTCATTTTGGGCTTACTTTAGCACCAGCTGAATTCTGCTCTCTGCAGTGCAAGGAGCATTAACAAGGCAAAACTGGGCCCTCCCTGGCGCGGCACTTTAAAGCTCTTCCCAGCCACTGCAGCACAAAATCAGTCCCCGGCCAGGGAGCTGACTTACATGGCGCAGCAGACCTCTCCTGTCTCCCCGCTGCTCCCCTCAGCAGTGGATCTCAGTAGATCTGCCTGTCCTGTCCCCACTCTGTCTCTGGTGAATCCTCTCACCCCGGCCTCTCTGGACTGTACCCCAGCTCTGCATGCATAAATAAATAAATCTTACAAAAAAAAAAAAAAAGCAAAGCATAAACAAGGAAAAAAGGAAACCTGGTGTCCTGCACCAGACTGGAAGTTTATCTGAACATCTCAACAAGAAAGAGCAGGGAGCAGCGGCCAGAGGTTACCCCAAATAGGCAGTTTGGAAATGGCCTGCTTTTGTCAAGAGGAGAAAACTTTTGAAAGGTAGTTAAGGAAACTATTTTCAAGTCAACACCTTCACTTTTCTTCCCATAGATGAGCTTTCACAGTGCCCGAGTCTTCTGATTTGACACATCCCTGCAAACATGAACTTGGTTTAATGGGTTCTAGAGGTGCCTGAACATTAGAAGCAGCTGGAGGGCTTTCACGATTTATGGAGGTTGGGCCCTGCCCCCCAACCCCAGGGATTTAATCTGGGGTCGGAGGAGTGCCTGGGCACCAGCTCTTCCTTTGACGCCCCCCACCCCCACCCCCAGGCAGTGGTAATTTGCCAGGGGAGGTGAGTTAGTGAACTTCCACCACTGACTGACTCTCCCTGCGGAGGCTCAGGTGGACGGAGCTAGGGCCTCCACATTGAACCGAACCGGGCGGGGCGAGGCAATTCAAGCCTCTCCCAGGACGATCTGCCCCCCACCAGCCACTGGGCCCCCCGCTGGGCCTGAAGCAGGTGGTGCTTTCAAGAAAATGGGGACAAAGAGTCCTGAGCCAGTCCCGCCAGCAGGGGGCAGCAAGCGCATGGCGAACGGGACTCCCCACTCGCAAGCCTTTCTACCCCAGCGTGACTGCAGCCACCCAGATTCCCAAGGCTTCTTGAATCCCAGAGATGAGAAAAATGGGGCTCACAGAGAGAGAAGCCTGTGCCCCCAACGCCACACACACAGAACTTGGGGTAGAAAACCCAGGTGCGCTTACTTGGGCCATTCCTCAGAAAACACCTACCACGGGTCAGACACAGGGCTGGGTACTGGGGATTCGAGAAGGAACGAGTAATTCTTTCCTGGGAAACAGGCTTCGCAGGAAACCATTTCGCGGAGTATGGGACAGCCTGGAGCAGTGTGAGGTTCTGTCCAAGCCATTCCTCTGCGTGCGCCTTCATCCGCGGTGGGTGCCTCCTGTGGACCAGGCATGGTGCTAGGCTCCAGAAGACAACCGAGAGACAGTCGGGCCCTTCCTGCCCACTAGGAGCATCCAGACACCTCAGGGCACAAGCCAGCAGGGGTTTTGTCAAGTGCAAGCAGAGGTAGGAGAACAGGGAGGGCCCAGCAACAGGAGGCTGGGGGCCGGAGGAGCCCTCCAAACCGAGGCCTTTCTGGTAAGAACAAGACAGGTAGGTCTGCGGGCTGGCTTGGAGACTGGCCCAGACAAGCCAAAACAGAAGTTAGGGTTCCATCGCGGCACCTGGAACCCTGGCTGGCGCTGGGTGCTTTCAGGAAACTGGTTCGCTGCGATTTTCAAAGTGTGTTGATGGTGTCGTGGTCGTCGTGTTCTAGAAGAGTCCTTTTCTACTAGAGAGATACTAAGATATAGGTAGCTCGATATGTCTGGGACTAAAGAACTCAAATGGAAGAGGAGGGGATGGGGAGCCCCGAGACCAAAATTGACACTTGAGCCTGGTGGTGGGTCCTGGGGTCCCTCAGTCATCCCCCCCGTTTGTGCAGGTTGAAGGTTTCTGTCATAAACAGCTCGCACAGTAAGTAGAGATTTGAAAAGCAGCATTTCATGCGGCTCTAGAAGGGCCCGCGGGTGCCTCACCCCGCGCCGCTTTGGACAGAGAGGGAGGAGCTAGCCCGTGGGCGGTCAAGAAATGAAGCGGAAAAGTTCGTGACACACAGCTATGACATGTTTTTCCTTTGCATCTAGGAAAAATTACCAAATTTAAAAATTGCTGGGGGAGGTGGGTACAATTCATTTGACATGGAAAGGGGAAGGGAGGAGGCGCTTTTCTTTGGGAACTAAGCTGGCTGGGGGGAGGGCGGAACCTAGTGCCCACCCCCCCAATCCCCCCCCACACCCCCTTGCCTGCAGTGGGCTGAGCCACCTCCAGGCTGAGTGTCTGCGCTGATGAGGGCCCAGGAGGGTCTCAGCGGAGAGTGTCAGGAGAACTGGGGCTTCTGAGCAGAGCAGTCTCCAATTTCAGGCCAGGAAGAGCATTAA